GCACTATGTTCAATGCTTGATTGATTCTCAGTCCCCAGGAGATCTGTGCCATTCTCAGCCCCCTGGAAACTGAGGCAGAGAGAGATGGAATGTTCTTTCCCACTGGCGAATGGAGGATGGAAGAATCAGAACTGCTGACCCTCAGCACCTTGCTTGAGATAATGATCAGAGGATGAGGCTGAGGCATGCAGAACACCCTGTGGGTCTCCCATTCTGTGTCAGCCCCTGGTCTCTTAAAGTCTATCAGATTGCTTTCAGTGAATTGAAATGCCAGAACTCTTGTTACTCGATCATACTGATAGGTAACTAATTCAGAGAATGTTTGTAAACGCACATGCAGAACCTATCCTTTTATGGAAGGGAAAACATTACTAATTAGAGAATGTTTGTAAACACACATGCAGAACCTATCCTTTTATGGAAGGGAGACATTACTAAAGCAAGACAAGAACCTGGACCTTCCCTCTCCATGCTCAGAGGTCCTCCACACACGGTAAAAACCAAGTCTTATCTACAAGTGGATAATTTAAAAAGCATAGAAATCCACCCCTAATTCTCAGAAGCAGGACCCAGGCACTGGGATTCAGTAGACTCAGTAGAAATCCATCCCCAGTATAAGCAAGAGAGAACCCAGGAAAGACAGAAGCAGACCCAGGTGTTTGTGTAACAGCAGCTGGGGTCATGTCATCTGCCTATCGGAGTCTTATTGTGTTTAGCATACTGCTTACCTGATTGAAATTGGCTCTAAACATAACCCAAGGTTGAACAGGAATGGAGGACATTATTGCATTTAATTATTTCTCCAGAACAAAAATGGATTCTAGTAACAGCTTCGAGGTAAAGCAACAGCAGAGCAATTAGAGTTTTGGAGTTCATACACAAACAATTGAATGTGCAATCATTGTAATAAGTACACTAAAGTAAAATAAATCAAAGGGTTTCATTTGCATAAATAACCCAAGGTAAGAGAGTTGGATTGGTTAAGAATAAAGGGGACATGGCTAGTCAGTCACAGGAGAGGTAATAACCACTCTATACTCCAGGTGGAAACCACCAGGGAAGAGAGAGCTGAAGGTGAATGCTTAATGTAGAGTTACCAAGTCTGGGTTTGTTGCAGATTTTTCCTTCTGTTTTGGGTGGCAGGCATGTTCCAGAAGTTTCACATACATTTATCCTCTTTAAAATGCCCCTGAGGTAAATATTACACTCATCCTCATGTCCCAGACAAGGAAATTGAGGCACAGACTTCGAGTCTTCACTAACTGGCAGTGTTACCTTGGTTATTTAACCTCTCTGTGCCTTACGTTCCTCCCCTTAATCAGACTCATACTTTCTGCTTCACTGAGTTTCCCAAAAGATTGTGTGACGTGCTAGAGCACCAAGGCTTATGAATGCTGGGCATCTTATATGGGACAGCTAGAAACTTCTCACATTTGGTTGTGTGTAGGGAACAGAACATGTTTGGCTGCTGGGAGGAGGAGTAGTCAAGTTAACTACTGTATTAATTGAGATAAGCTAGACTGTACTGCAGTAACAAAGGCAGCAAATTCAGTGACTTTAAGTAGCAGGAGTTGATTTTTCTCATTGGGGTTTGGTGGCATCTTTTCCATATCAGCTTCCCTCAGGGAGACAGAACCTTCACCATCAAGAGTGAGCAAAGCTTCTGTGTCAGCAGGTAACAAAATACCTGAGATAAACAACTTAAATGAGGAATAACTTATTTTCACTCATGGTTTTGGGAGTGTCAGTCCATGGTTGATTGAGAGACAGAAGTGCCAGGGTCCAAATAGCCATGCCTCCAGTGACCTAACTTTGTATTGGTCCCACTTCGTAAAAGTTGTATCATCTACCACATCCCAGTAGTGTCACAGGCTAGTGACCAAGCCTTTAGCATCTGGGCCTGTGGGGCTGAATGCTATCCTGGGAGGATGGAGGATATGGCATCTTGTACCCTAGCTGTTGCCATTGGTTTTGTCTGGGCAAGTATCTTGGCTGTGTCTAATTTTCAGGAAGTAGGGACATGTGATCCTATCATATGCCCTGAAAGAAGGGAGCAAAATATTTGTGAAGAGGCATAATTGAATGCCATCCTTGCTCCTTGCAGCTCTGTCTGTACCCCGGGTAATATACAAAGAGGAAGACTCCCCTCCACTTCACAGGTAGAGAAAGAGCTAGCTGCTTCTCGGCTATCTCTCAAACATCAGGGGCTCTGTAAAACTAGCAAGTTTTAGAACCAGACAGGTGCACATTCATTGCTTCCTCCAGTTGCCTTTGGCCAAATTGCTTACCATTCCCAACTTCTTTTTTGTCCCTCTTTTATGTGATAGAAAAGCAGTATTTTCCTTGAAATTTATTTCTGGAGTTAAGATAGTGCATTAAGGGCAGAGCACAGTGTCTGGCACATGTACGTATTGGAGAAGTAAAAGCAACAAGTCAAGACTGTGTGCTCTGTGAGAAGTGAGATGAGCTCCTTTCTCAGGATAGTCATCATGTCCACTGAGTACTGTGTGGTGCCTGGCTTGTGGTATGCACTCAGGAAATGAATCTGAAAGTCTACTTGTGGCCCTTGGAGTCTTCAAGCATTTTTGGATAAAAAGGAGAAGAAAAAGATTATCAGCAAGATGTCTTTAGGATTCAGGAGCAGAAAGTCTTCTGACGACCCTGTAGAGATATCACATATCTCTGCAAAAAGGTTTGAAGACCAGAACAGAAAGCCACTCTGATTCACAGGACAGGGTGGATGATAGGTCTTCTGTATCCATGGTGCTCTTCATTGATTCAACCAATCATGATTGAAAATCTTAAGGAAAAAAATCTACTGTGTACTGAACATTGTTCATCTCATTATTCCCTAAACAAACAGTTCATAAATATTATAATTAATCTAGAGATAATTTCGAGTACACAGGATATGAGAATGTAAGTAAGTTATATGCAAAAATGACCCTATCTTGCACAAGAGACTTGAGTATCTGCGGATATTGGTGTCTCCTGGGGTCCTGGAACTGTACTAGCAGATGAGCCACCCTAAAACCCCATGAGGTCTCAGCCCTCACTTCTTGGGCCTTTTCCTTTTTCTTCCTTGTTGCCTCCCAGCTCCTGCCCCCTCTCGTTCTAGGCTGGTCCCTGCTTACTGTCTGTCCACTTTCTCTCTATGACAACTACAACACAGCAGGCCACTGGGCACTTGAGATGGCTGCTTGGGAATCACATGCTGATAGTAAATCTGTTTAGCTGAGTAAGGGAGGATAGAAAAAAGGCCACATCTTATGATACAAAGTCAAAACGCAGTGCTTAAGAGGACAGGCTGATGATGAAATATGTACTCTTCTTGGAAGTTGATGCTGTACCTGGAAGCCCAGAACATGTTGTCTGTGTTCTGACTAGGTTACCTTGGGCAAGTCATTTGTTAGGAGATACTTATTTCTACATCTGTAAAATATGAATAGTAATAATACCTAACTCATTGAGTTATCACGAGGTATCTTACGGTTACTTGTTATTCTTACAGATTTCAACACCTAGCAGAAATTGGTACTTACTGCCAGAGGAGATGGGCAGAAGCTAGAAAGGGACAGCCATATATGACTTCTCCTTCAGCCTCATTTGAGCCAAATGGAGACCATGAGAAAAAGACAACTGAACTAGTTCCAGGATAGGTGGCTATTCGAATAAAAAAGGGGTCTTCTTACTTTTCCTAAAGGGCCACATAGAAATAGTTTGTGTTCCACAGGCCAGACAACCAGTTTCCATGACAATTATTATATAGTTGTAGCAGGAAACAACCATAGACAATACATAAGTAAACAAATATAGCTGTGTTTCAATAAAACTTTATTTATAAAAACAAGGCATGAGTCAGATTTGGGACATGGGCTACAGTTTGTTGAACTGCTGGTGTTAGTGTTGATGGCCCTCTGGAATATAAACAGTTACACGTTTCATACTCCCATTCTTCCTTGGGAAATGTTAAGAGGCATATTTTACTTCAATCATAAAAGAAAATTAACAGCGGTGCTACTTACCACCAATGTGCCTCCTGAGCAAGAGGGCAGACTTATAGAGTCAGTTGTGTTCTCCGTGCCTTGAGTTCCCTATAGAAATGTGCTCTGGGATGGTGGATACCTTTCAGGTTAAAGCCTTGGGAATGAGGTCTAAAGTAAAGCAGTATGTTTTAGAAATGATTCAGGGCATTTGATATGAACTCAGAATTATCAGGACCCAGTTACTTAGCAGGACCTGAGTGTGGAGTTCCACCTTTCTGGAAAGCTCCAAGTCATGTATTGTCTCCAGTGACTTCTGCCTTTTCATTTGACCTTTGGTGACTTAATAAGCTTTATTACAAGTACCAATATCAAGAGGTAAAGCTCAAGCACAAGAGTGGCCAGGTTAGTACCTTCCTGGGACCCACTGCGAGCTTCATTCTTCACAGGCTGCCTCCCTCTTGCCCCAGACAATATAAAGCCAGTGCTGTCTTTGCTTGAGAACAGTAATAGCCCCAGTCTGGCTCTCTTATAGGTATGGATATATGAGCATGTCCTAAAGGGAATGGGATGTATATATTATCCTACCCATATTTCCTCCCTTTGTGACTTTATTATGTCATTTCCAGCTCTCAGTAAACCATTAGGGCACTTTCTGCTGGGATTCAAACAGGAATCTAGAACAAAGTATTTGTTTCCCCAGAGTGGAGATTCCTGGTGAAGGAAAGACATTGACATGAAGTTTTGAGAATCATAGTGACAGTGCTAGTCATTGAGAGCTTGAGAAAGAAACTTAGTTCCTAGTGGAAACATATCACATGTCCAGATGACGAAACTGGTGTTTGGAGAGAAAAATCTTTCCAGAATTTAAGCCAATGGTGATGGTAAATGGGAAGATTCAGCTCAGACTTCCAAAGCTATGTGTCCCCCACTCCAGCCCACAAAGGGCCAACCTTCTTGTTTAGCATGATGGCTGAGTCCAGTTTCTCTTTTGCATTTCTTCCCTGTGCTCTCCAGGATGGCTACTTCTCTCATCGACCCAAGGAAAAAGTGCGTACAGACAGCAACAATGAGAACTCAGTCCCCAAAGATTTTGAGAATGTTGACAACAGCAACTTTGCACCCCGGAGTCAAAAACAGAAACACCAGCCAGAATCAGCAAAGAAGCCACCAAGTGGACAGAAGCAGCGCTTCCAGAGGAAGCTAGAGTCACAGGACAAAGGCCAGGGACATTCGGTTCTGGGGAAGGTCCCCAATGAGGTGCTACCACCTGGTGAAAGGGCTGCCACCAACAGCAGCCATAAGAAGGACACACCCAGACAGCCCCACTCGAGGAGGGGTGGTGGCAGCTCTCCCGAGACCAAGTATGAACAGCCACCCAAGTGTGACATCTCGGGCAAGGAGGCTATCTCTGCCCTGTCTCGCTCTAAGTCCAAGCACTGCCGCCAAGAAATTGGGGAGACCTACTGCCGCCACAAGCTGGGGTTGCTGATGCCAGAGAAGGTGACTCGGTTCTGCCCGCTTGAGGGTAAGTTACAGCCCCACTTCCTCTTCCCATCATGCCCCATTCTGGCCCATTTTTAGATGTTCTAAAGCATCTGAGATAGAGAAGTATTCTGCTCTACTTCTCCAATCCCAGATTAGAACACAAGATCTGATTTGTTGGGGGTACTCTGTAAATTCTCAAGTATCCTTTAAGAAAAGGTTCACGTTCATTTTTATTGATGGTTTAACTCATTGCCTTTATGGCAAAATATAACCTTATAATAGAATCTGGGCTCACGTAAAAGTTGCAGGAGTGAGGCAATTGTATTGATAGGATTTGGGTTCTCTCCCAGCCGAGGATCAGGATTTGAATTGACATGAATGAAACTGGATAGGATTTGGAAGGTTTCTGGTGGGCTGCATAGACTTTGGAGGCTATAAGAGCAACCTTTCTTATTTCCTCCTTCCTTCCTTCCTTTTTTCCTTCCTTCCTTCTTCCTCCTTCCCATATTTCCTTTCTATATCTTTCCACATTCCTGTTCTTTCTTTCCTTATTTGCATCCTTCCTCCTTCCTGTCTGCCTTATGTGTAGATAATCCAATGATGAATCAGATCTCTTTCTGAGTTGCAGGGCTTGATTAGAGTTCAGTGGGGATTGGGGCTATAGGGGCCCTAGAAGATGGGGCAAGTCTTGTACAGCTGGGCATCACACATATTTATCTCCTATCTGAAACTGCCATGCCATGGAGACCTTGGCCTTCCCTTGTGCTCATGGAGGGGAGGATGACCTGCAGGAAGTGCTAAGTGAGCATCATTATGTGCAGGGCACTTCACAGGTCACTGCACATCCTCATCCTCACCTGTGAAGTTGGCGTAGAGATCAGAGGCCTAAGTGTTTTCAGATGAGTCATGTAAAAGAAGTCCAAGGTCACATCCTTTGTATGTAACTTTCTATTACACATTGAGACATCCAGAGAGACAGAGACAGAGACAGTCGGAGAGAGAGAGAGAGAGTGAGAGAGAGAGAGAGAGAGAGAGAGAGAGAGAGAGATGCTTGCTTTCTCCAGATCATTCCTTCCTTCCTTCTCGAATACACAGATACCAGCAGAAAACGTTTAACCGCTGCAGAGTAGGAAGGACCCCCATGTACTGTCATCTGGCTTCATTATCAGCCCTTAGTGACTTGTTTAATGCATGTGGCTGATGACCCCTCCCTTGTTATTGGTTTACTCTAAGCTGACCTCTAGAGTACTGTTGAGTTGTATTTCTCCTTAGAGAAGACCTTTTCTGTTTGTAATCATTTGTCCAATGCTTTTCTCCATGGAAATGGCAAGTGGCACCCAAAAGGCACTTTTCTACAAAGAAGACAGTGGTTGCCACTAGAAATAGAGTGAAGAGACATGTATTTTGGTTTGAGTTCAGCTTCTCGCTGATGGGGAGAGTCCTTTCCCCTTCTGATCTGGCTTCCTTACTCATTCAGGGAGTAGCAGGCACTGAGAATGCAGGGCATCTTTTGACTCAGCTTTGCTTTGGAGCCTCCTTCATAGTTAGTTCTTGGTTCTCCTTCGTCATCGTGCCTCAGTGCAAGACATAACGTGCCCTACTGTCCCTCAAAAGCAGCCAGAGGTTCAGGATACCTCCTTGTTATTTCTAAAGTAAAAAATCAGAAATGCTTTGTTTTGCTCCTAAGAGAGAAAATAAGATCTCAGATTATCACTGAAAAGAAGAGATAACCCATAGCTCCAAGGGGATGGGGAAGAACAGGAACACAGATCCGGACAGGGTTTGAAGTCACAGGTCGGGCAAGAATGAATCCACTGAGGTGCTGGGGCCTCCTCATTAAAATGTTAAAGTTGCCCCACTGGTGCAGTGTCTCTGCATAGGAGACAAGAGAAGGGTTTGATATCTTTCCCTCCAGTTCTCTATTCACTCAGCGTGTGGCCAGCACCTGTCTGATCTAAACCTCCTATCTTATGACTAATGGTAAACAGTGACGCACATATAAGATGGCCATTGTCAACACAGAAGTCAGAAAAGTACAGTAAGACACCCACAAACTAGGAGGTTTTCACTTCTCACCTGGGTATGGGCACAGGAACCAGGGCCTTGGTGACCCAGGGACCATTGCAGTAGCAGATTCTGAGTCCTCTGTCTCTCTGATACAGAAGACACCCATCTAGCGGTGCATGAAGAACAGTACTGCCCAGGAAAACAACCCACTACAGAAATACCTGTCCACTTACTTACTCACTGGGCAAGTGATGGTATGAGGTCTGTATAAGGAAGATACTTAATGTAAGATCTCCCGGTTCACTAGATAATTCCTCATTTCAAACACAATCCTCCTTTGCATCTGTGTGTTCCCCATTCATGGATTCAACAAACTGTGTGTTGAAAATATTTTTTAAAATTGTCTCATCTATTATAGAGAGAGTTTTTTTTATTATGTCCTAAGCAAATATATCACCATTCACATTGTTTAAGATATTATAAGTAATTTAGAGATGATTTAAAATATACAGAAGATTATACCTAGATTATATGCAGATATTATATACTCTGTTATATAAGGGACTTGATCATTTGTAGATTTTGGTATCTTTGAGGTATCCTGGGACCAACCATTTATGACACAAAGGCCACCTTATATGTGCTTCACTGTTTACCACTAGGCATAAGATAGGAGGTTTGGATCAGACAGGTTCTGGCCACACACTGAGTGGATAGAGAATTGAAGGGACACATATCAAACCCTTCTCTTATCTCCTATGCAGGGACAGTGCACCAGTGGGGCAACTTTAACATTTTAATAAATTTCATCTCTATTTTTGAGCGTTAAATATACAGTATATCTGTGCCATATTTTCTTTTCGACAGTGAAATTTGAGAAGAAAATCTTTCTTTCTGTCTTGCAATATAACCCTGGCCTGAATCATCCAGGTGGCTCCCATCTATACTCTCGCTTGGTTTTAGCATGTGATAGAACATGAGGATAACTAAGTAGAGCACGACCTTTCCAAAACCTTTTACTAACTAGAACCTGGTAGAGACAATTCAGCATCCTGATTTGAACACCCAGCCAAGAAAATAACCATGGCTGCCACTATGTTCTGCAAAGGGCCAATTAGTCAATATTTGAGATCCTTTGGGCCATATAGTCTCTGTCACCACTCATTCCAAACTGTGTTGTTGTAATGAAAATACAAACATAATACATTTGATTATGTTCTGATAAAACTTAATTTGCAAATGTAGCCCATGGGTCAGAGTTGACCCTGGAATCCATAGTTTGCTTCCTCCTGTTAAACAACTGTCTTGATATCCATGCTCCTGAATTTATGATGGACTGACATCCAGATAAATCCATCCTAATACCATTAAGCCAGAAATGAACTTTATATACCTAACTTACCAAGCATCAGAATTTAGTTTACATTCAATGTGCTGAAAATATTCATATTAGCCAAGAGTTGGTCAAATTCATCTAACGCAAAACCTGCTGTATAATAGCATTTAGAACAGCTCGTATAATTTATTAAATACTGAACTGAAACTGAAGAACTGGATGATTATCCAGTTCTTCAGTTTTAGTTCAGTATTTAATACTGTTATCAAGTTAATATATTTAACTTGTATATTTAATATATGTATATTTAATACTTGTATATTTAATACTAGTATATTTAATACTGTTATCAAGTTAAAAAGTCTGAAGTAAAGGCATTCTAAGGCAGGGACTATCTATAGGAGCGTGTGCACCATCATATCTCATCACACTGAGACCTCACATGAGCCCTACACAGTAAGTCTGTTATGAACCCAGTTGCTCCAAGAGTCTAGGTCAGTGGTGGCCTAACTATGCCACACGTACCATGGCAGTCTGTATCATTCAAAGCTCTTACAGGTTCACCATCACTGGTCTAATGTAGGCCCGAAACACATGGTTAGTACATGGTAGAGTTGGTACTAGAACTCAGGATACAGAACCTGAATCTCCATAAGTCTGTTTATCTTTAGGAGGAAAAGGCTTAATTTAACTAAAATTATCAAGGGCCTAGAAGTTGTCTTTCCTGTAACCTGTGCCTGCTTTATCATCAGTATGGTTTTAAGGAGGGAAGTGGGGCATTAGTAAGAGAGCAAGGATGTTGACAGTGGACAGGAGCATGACCATGAGTCTGAACTCTCTGAATTCAAATCCTGGCTCTCCCTCCCATAAGCTGTCAGAGTCTGCGTAAGTGGCTTGACCTCTGCATGCCTTGGTGTCTCTGTCTATAAAGGGAAGGTAAACATGATCACACTTACCTCAGAGAGCTTTTGAGGACTCATGACACAGTTAAGAACCATGCCAGGTCAGCAGTGTGCTTTACATATATATTTAGTGCAAGCTATCCAAAAGAATAAAACAATCTCATCACCATGAACCAGAGTTTGTTACCCTTTCCTGGTGTGCTGAGATATCTCTAGTGTAGAGAAAAAGTCTGTTGGAGGCCTCCCTGAGCCTTTTGGTGCCTGGGCCAAGGTGGCATGACCTCCAAGGACCTCTGAGCTGGTTTATACGATTGGCATTTAAGAGGCATTGCACACCCGGCCCCAGCAATGGTTTAATTTGCTGCACCACAGCCTCCCCCTTTTGCAATAAATTTACTGTGAATAGACTAATTGCAAAATAACCCTAATTGGGTAGTTATCAATGAACAACTTGCCGTGGAACAAAACGGCTTGCAATTAATAGCATTTAAGCCATAAACTATTCTTCTGCAGAAAGCTAAGATGTAATTACACCCCATAGGGAGATTGTGTTCCTTTTCTGGAAACCATGACACCCGGAATTCCCTCTACTTAGGAGGAATTTGAGCTTCGGGCCAGTGGTCCTTTTATTTCCTGTGAAGTGAGGAAGTGGAAGCAGGATGGAGAAAAATTTAATATACAAGTAAACCTACCAATAGAGATTTCCCCACACAGTGGGACACATGGTGTCTGTCGTTTTACATAACTTAACATCCATTGCCCAAACTTCAGCCCATAGTTTGCTGGAAATAGTAA